GAAATGAGAATGACTGAATGGTAAACTGGCAAACCACAAGGCCTCAGTAAATGGTCCATTTGATGGCTGTAAGGGCGGAGGAGTCTGGACCTTATTTTCAACTTGTCTTCCCACACCCTGAAATCCCTCCCCTTCCCAGTAAGTGGTGCAGAAAACAGAAGGACAGCTGGAGTTTCCTGACACGGAGCAGGTCATAAGGGAAATGAGGAATTCTGCACATCCAGGCCATTTCCTGTTCCGCCTCGCTTGCGAGAGGATGGATGCAATTTCTTTTTTTTTAGGTTGCACATCCATATCTCACCTTCTGATTCAAGCTGATGGGCCAAGTCCTAATGCCAAGGCAGGAAGCTATCCATCATCAACACTGTAATGTGACACTGTAACAAGTGTCTCCCAACTGCTGTGGGGTTTCAGTCCGTGTTGCCGTCCAGTACTGCTTTGCTTTTCAGCTCCAACTGAAGCACATGCACTTCAAGCTTTTACCTCTCCTGTAGCACAACATGGATTTCAAACAGCTTTCTTGTAGAAACTGAAGAATTCCCATAAAAGCATAAAACATCGGATCAAATGAATGAGGGTTAATCCTGGTTTGGTACAGACCCAACTGGTGACTGACACTACATGGGCTGGACAACTGGAGGCAGTGACACCATCTTAAAACATCAATGGGATTACTGGGGAATATTCCATCAGGCGGCTCCGGAGGGAGATTACTGGACTGTACCAAAGGATGGACTCACGTTTACTGTCCACAGAAATTCATATTGTGATTGATAGTATCTCCTCCTCATGTTCTGGTTAAAATATTCATGTGTTGCTTTTCAGATTTTTAGGTCTTCTCGCTGTCAAATGTAGGTTTATGTACAATGTGAAATTCTAAACTCCTCGGTTTTAAACTAATTCATTAAATAACCTTTTTATATCCACTGAGGTGTAATGGCACAGATATGCTGTGGATTTTGTTTTGTATTTGATTTTTGAACTCCTATTTTTGCTTTACAATGAAATGACTTCATTTCTATTCAGTTGAGCTACTCTTTCTGTCCACTTGGGGGCGCTGTATCACTAAAAACATCTGTGAAGTCCCTCAGTTTAACACCTTTCAGTCCTTATTATGGCCTTAAATGTTGCGTGTGGCCTTTGCTTTCTCCTGCATCACTTTCACCGGCTGTCCAGGCAAAAACTGGCATCTCCTCATCCCATCCCTATTATCTATTATATAGTAATTTCACATTTTTGTGTGCAGATGGATCAGGTGTCGGACGACGAGCTGGACCACGGGGCGGAGGAGGACAGTGACAAGGAGGACCAGGACCTGGACAAGATGTTTGGGGCCTGGCTGGGTGAGCTGGACAAGCTCACACAGGTAGGCAGACGGGCGGGAGGAAATGAGGAAGAGGCTGTATCCATGGCAACCGTAACACTGCTAATCCCGTCTCTGTTTCCTAGCAACTCTCCCCTTCACTTTACATTGTGCAGACATGCAGCGCTGTGTGTGAGACACTGAGGAGCGTTGCAGTCAGACGTGGTTGTTATGATCCTCTGCCTTGGTTGAGTTTCAGTGTTTGCTGATGGTTTTTTTTTTTGTTTGCTTGTTGTTTCCGTTCATCATAGAGTCTGGATGACGGTCGGCCACAAAAAGCACTGCAGAAGCCGCCTCTCAGGCAGGAGACGAACATCGCCAACTTCTCCTACCGCTTCTCCATGTACAACATAAATGGTGAGACATAAATGGTGTCAAAAAAACAGCACAACAAAAATAATTTCCTAATTGATTGAGCTCCCTCCATAATGAACCTACTTCCTCCTCCATCCCCTGTGAATCTTTTCACAGAGGCTCTGAATCAGGGAGACTCCGTCGACTTGGATGCCCTCATGGCCGACCTTTGCTCCATCGAGCAAGAGCTCACCACCATCTCCAAACCAAACTCAGCATCTCGCAGCCAGAACAAGGGACAACAGAGGGGCCCCGGGGGCCGCAGTGCCAGCACCAAGCACCCTGGCACCACTGGAGGGGGAAACAGCGGAGGTAGTTCAGGCTCTTTTCAGCGTGCTGCATTTTAAGGAGATTGTGTCATGAGTTACTCCCCTGCTTTGTGTGCAAATCAAAGGTCAGCAGAATTACAAAGACTTGAGTTTGACTCTCTCGGGATAAATAGGTGCTTTTAAATGAGTCACTTCGAGGGGAAAATGAGCGCCGGCTTTGTTCTCCACTGGTTCAGAAGAGAAAAGGCCGACCAAATGAGCAGCGGCTCACAGGAAGCAGGAGTCGGTCACACTCTGTCCAGTCAGAAAATAGACAAAAGGGTTTTTATGAAAGGATCTCTTCCTCTTTCATCAGGTTTTGTGTTTTTTGTAGAATATTAAAAATTGTTTTTCAATTTGCAATTTCAAAAATATTCCTCCACGTCCTTCATCCTTCATCCTTAATGGATGAAGGATCCTTAATGGCTTCATTAAGGATGAAGTGGTTGAGTTGATAAAGAAGAAGTTGTGATCATGTTTTTTATTTCTAGAGATTAACTATGAGAGCAGCCTGTTTTTATTTGTCTATTCTTTTGTCCATTTATTTAATCTATCTATCCTGGCATCTGTAGCTATATCTGCCACAAATGTCTTTAAGTTTTGTGTTTTTCTACTTGAAATGAGCAAGTATAGAGTCTAAAAACCCTAAGGAACTTTTTTCACTTGTAAAAAATCCAAAGAAAGGGATTTCTTATTTTTGTGTTAGATCTCTTCTGTGTTCTCAGTATTTTCTTTTATAAATATTTCCTTCAGGAAGCACGAGCAGCAGTGCCAGAGCGTCGCCAGCCAGCACGGTTCGGGGCGGCAGCGCCAGCTCTCGACCCGCGGCCTCCAACATCTCCCTGGACGACATCACCTCCCAGCTGGAGAAGGCCTCCCTCAGCATGGATGAAGCAGCGCGTCAGACTTCCTCTTCTTCGTCTTCCTCGTCTTCAGTGTCCTCCACAGCTCTGCGGCGCCCCTCCTCCGGCTCGTCCGGCAGCGGGCAGCACCGCAGAACCGGCTCGGTGGGCACGGCCTGTGAGCAGGAGGCTCGGTCGCAGCGCTCCAGCATGAATTCGGCGTGCGCCTCGGCTTCCAGCATGGACTCCCTGGATGTGGATAAAGGCATGACGGGCGGAGAGGCAGATGAGCAGGGCAGTCCGAGCTCACAGGGGCAGAACCAGACCAGCACAGAGGTATGATGTTTGCATGGAAACCAAAAACAGAGCACACAGCAAAATAACCAAGGGCGATAGTTTCAGTTGCATGTTTTTGGTGTGTGTTGTGCATTCTCTTGCGTAATGAAACCCACTGCAATCTACAAAGTTTTGGATTGCAATGTTAACAACTTTTTCTGGGCTCCTGGAACTCACCACCGGCTCTCTGACTAAACCAGATGAACCTCTAAAGAAAGTCTTTCTCAAACTGTGGTCATCGAGGTGCTGCATGTAAATAACCGTTTATTTGCTGTGATGTGAGCTCAAAGTGCGACATGTGCAATTAGTTTACCAAAGGATTGTGTTTAAAAATAATAATAATGGATAAGTGGCTAGGTCACTCAAAAGAAAAGCTGACGAAAACACCAGGACTGCTTATGTAGTCAGAGAAAGTCACGTCTGGATGAGTAGCTTTCAGTTTCTCGGGGTGAGTTTACAAAACTGTTTTAAGACACTGTCACGATGCGTAGCGTGGTGAGCTGCGCTGCGACCCACATTGACTAACTGCATCTAAACACCTAAAATAAAATAATAGTCAGGCTTTCCTCCTGAAAGAAAATGTTTGTTTCTACCAACTCAATTCAATTTTTTCTTTTGTCCTGTTCTAAAATATAATTAATGCACACAAAAAAAATCCTTTTTTGATGTTTTGTTATTGCGGCGATACTTTAAAGCTCGGTGGTCCGTGAGTGTTTAATCCTCGTGAGTGTTTAAAGTTTAGGAAACGCTGGTCTAAAGTGTTGGTAAGATTAATTTAATCTGCTTTTAGGCGCAGCAAATCTCAGCTTTATTCCAAGCCTGTAGAAGCTTGAAGAAAAATAAGCGTCAAAAAAGAAAAATAAGTCAGGTCACAACAACCATGTTATTCTGCATGTCTCCCTCTCTCTCCGGCATGTGTTCACTTTGTTTCTGTTTGCATCCTTTGATTTTACCGTTGGCCTCTTTCCACAAACACACACGCACCCGCTCGTCTGCCTGCCTGCCTGCCTGCCTGCACCTTCCGACTTTTCCAGCATGTCAAACTGCGACGGGCCTGTAGCGGGCCGGCCAGACGCCAGCTTGACTTCACCTCCCGTGAGGGTGAAGTGGACCAGGCCACTGTAAGTTTGCATGTGAGGAGTACAGTCAGCTATAATAGTGGAAAATGGCTTTTATGGTATTGAAAATGCAGAACATTGTTGTGTGTTCAAATTGGGTTTTTGGGAATGTTTTACACCTGTTTAAAAAACTTTTAGCAGTTCTTATAAAAAAAAAATCATTTAATGGTTATTTGTGTGTGGATGTTTTAAGATTTTTAGTTCATTTGAAACCCTGTTTTGCAGCACTATGATTGTAATATTTCAGTTTTGTTCATAAAACAAAGATAAACATGAGATATAAAAACGGCTGTGAAATGACGTGTGACTGCAGCTGAATTGTAAGTCAAACTACATCTGAATTTGCCTCTCACTTCACACAGCCTTTCCTTCAGCTCCCACAGCTACAGCTAACGACAACCACAACTGCTGAGTGCCTTATTTAGAGTCTTCTCTCTTTTCCACGCTGCTTTATTGATTTTTTTTATTTTTATTTTTAAAAGAATCACAACACCTGCAATTAATAAGCCTCAGATAATCATCTGGCACTGACTTCCTTGTATTTTGTCTCTTCTTCTGCTCTTTCTTTTTATCTCCTGTTCCTCACCCAAGCATTCCTATCTGGACCGAGAAACCTCACTCATTCTGAAAAGCATAGCTGGGAAGCCTTCTCACCTCCTGACCAAGGTGACTTCCTTTTACACTCCATGATCGGTCTGGGTGTCTGTGGAGTTTCTGCATGCCTGCTGGAAGAAAAAAAATCCATCTTTCAGGGTTCAGATCCCTGATCTTTACTATTGGGGAAAACCAAGATCGCCATATTCGGCGATCTGTGTGAAGGCTTTGATTGATGAGTAGTATTGAATTAATTTTTCCTCATTAACTTCACCATGAGTTGGTCTTTATTAAACATTATTCAGATGCATGGGGGCTTTTGTCTTTGGATCTGTGTTGGTTTTCCTTTCTGTGTTTTTCTGCATGCAGCTTACTGTTGATTTACTTTCTGTTTTATGAGGAAATCTTGTCAAGCTAATGTATCAACCTTTTTGAGATTTAATGTTCCTTGTATCTGTCAACGTAATGCAGTAGTTTTTCATTATTTAAGTTGAAAAAGTCTCTACCTCAAAGGTTTTAACAATTGCATAGATTCATCATAAATCAGCTCGTGCAGTCCTGATCGGTTTCTGTCGTATTTCTAATCTAAATGTAATTAATACAAAACAATTCGATTAGGCCTTTTTTTTCTCCTCAGAAAGCATGTGGTGACAGAAGAAAAGTTTTATTTTGGGACATTTTGAAATCCCCGGGAATAGTCGTCAAGTTTTAAATCTTGATATTTTTTTTTTATTTACATTTTTTTGAGCAGCCGTTTAATCATGAGCTGAAATTTGGAGAGAAGTGGATATAGACTTAAAGCTTTATCTCCTTTTTTGTGTGGCACATTGTGATAACGCCCTAAAAAATAACCATCTTATTTTGTAGATAACTGTATGGCTGCCGCAGCTTTTGGCTCCCAGTTTGAAATTGACTTCCTCAGGATACCACTAATATCACTGAACTGCACACAGTAATTTCATTTCCTAATATTTATTGATGCTCTGATGGAATGAGCTGTGAAGAAAATGGAATTACATTGTTTTGTTCTTTTATTTACTGTCAGTAACTTAAATTTATCTCAACGGCAATAAATCCAATTTCTTATCATCGCGATAAATGATATGATAAGTGCTCACCCCAGAAGGGAAATCCTGCAAAGCACAAGCAGCGAGAACGAACTCGCGACTGTGGAATACTGATATCTGAGAGCGAGCAAGGCGGGGAAAGACTGGAAAGACATCAAAGTGTCAGGATGCCAAAGTACAAATAAAAAAGAAATGCCCCAACTATGCAGAAGAGCTCTTGAAAACTGGCTTGGTGTGAACGTGTCGGTAGAGTAGGATCAGAAACCAGAATTGTGCAGGTGTCAGAGGGATAAATCTGAGGTTAAACCCACCCTGACCCCCTCACTCTGAACGCCGGCCGCTTCGAGTCGGGCCACTCCGACTCTGACTCCATTAATTTTTGCTTGCTTTGAAACTACTCATGTGAAAAAGACAGTCTGGGTCAAAGGGAGGAGGGGGCGGTTCTTGTTTTTACCCCTCACCCTCTTTCTGCAAACACATTTGTAGACGTCGTCAAATATTCAGCACCTCATTCACCCAAATTCCACCGCCGCACATCCCTGCCACTGTGGCTTAGCCTCAGGACCGGATGGCTGCCATCGTCTCCTGCCGATTGGCGGGAGGATCCTGAGAAAGCAGCTCTCTGGTTGGCTGACCCCTTCGGCTCCTACTATATTTGTGGGGATTATGCTCCATCGATTGGGCACGCTCCCAAAGCCTGGCTGCTGTTCTGAAGAGAGGAAGGGAAGAGGCAAGGGGGAGGGGCGTCTTCCTTCCTACTATCTCGTTCTTTTTTTCTTTTTTTTTTTTTTTTTTGGTTTGTCAAATTGTGCACATTGGGTGCACATGTGAATGTCAGTGAACCCCCACCCCGCCGCAGACTTTTACCCAGGTTCATCCCCTCCGACGATCATTGTGGAACAACTTTACAGTGTTTCCCACTTCTTCTGAGGATTTTATATTTTTTCGGGATTCATAGATGCTCTTTGAAGTGTTCCTGCATCAATCTGCAGCCTCGCGTCCTTTAGGAGTCTTCTGGCATTGTTTAAGAGGATCAGAGGAAGCTGCAGCAGCTTCCTTTGAATCCAGAATGATGGCGTGCCACGTTTGAGGGGATGCCATAGCTGCAGCCGCAACGATTCACATCAGTTATATAACATTAATTACACAAGTGTAAGCATTGCTAACCTGTAGAATGGAGATGATGGCATCTTGCTGGAGAGGGCAGGTAAGCTATGAAAATGGAGGGAAAAATCCTCATGTGGTTTGTGGCATTTCAACTTTTAAAAAGACTTGAATTGGAATAAACCGCGTGTGTGCCATGATGGATTAAACATGTTCCTGTGTGTCCATCCAGGAGGAGCAAGCCGCCAAGATCAAGGCAGAGAAGATCCGTGTCGCTCTGGAGAAAATCAAGGAGGCGCAGGTCAAAAAGGTAAATGCGTTTTTTTTTTTGTCGTTTTTTTCTGAACACCTTCAGACTCGAGCTGATACTCCTTCGATCTTTCGAAACACTCATCATCTCGTAAGATACGCTTTTGAACTTCATCCATGGCGAGACAACGAAGCGCAGGGAAAATAGGTCAATGCAGCGTTTGATTGTGGAAGCAAGAAGTCAGTCTGTGCATTGAAAGACAATGCAGCGATTTTTGTTTTTTTTGTTTTTCCAATTCCACCGTAACCTGCTCTGATGTTTGGACGACCGCAGCCTCTGTCTCCGTTTATGCATCCATACTGGACTCAACATGAATGAGCCGACTGTGTGAGTGAGGACAAATGCATTTTGCAGAACGGTGTTCCTTTTTTTATATGTGATCAATGGGTGAAGCCCTGCAGTGTTCCAACTCACTGGGCTCTTCTCTGACATGACCAGATAAAGGGAAGCTGGGTGCAGCTGCAACATGAGCTGCAGTGATTTGTCGAATGCATGCAATTCCATCAGCTTCGTTGTATTTGAATTAAAAATTCAACATTTCTCATCAACTTTTATGCAGTAGACATTCAGAAGGGGGTGGGTGGTTTGTATTCTGAGAAATGTAGGTCAGGCTCCCCATGTCTGAGGCTCCGTCATCGTGCCTTCACTGGTTTGAGTTTCAGCTCAATCATCCTGGTGAAGGGATCGGCAAAACAAAAATTGGAGGAGTGGGGAAGCAGTTATTGGCTTTATCATTCAGGGATTCAGCGATAGGAATTAAAACTTGCCTCCAGCTAAGTTCAGTCATACGCTGACCTTTCGGTGCATAATCTGTTTCTCTGTGTATAACAACAAACTGCTCGGTCAGACATGAGGATAAAATGGTAATTCTTTGGGAAAAGAGGGGTTTTATTCATCTCAGTAACTGTAAAATATACATATATTATAATGCCTGGCCTTTGAAAGAGATTAGAGCCAAAACGGCTACCATACAAACTCAGGTACAAATGTTTCTTGCTGCTCGTTTACCATATTTTCCCTCCACCAAACTTTCCATCAGTATGCTTGGAACAGCCATATTTTATAGCATTGGAATTTACTATCTAAGTGTAAGCTGTCAGTGAACTGTCTGTTGAACTTTTTTTTTAACAGTTTTTAGCATTTGTTTCAGACATGAGAAAAACACAAACAAACATAAAGAAGTGAATAAAATAGGGGAAAAGCATATGCTTTTTTAATTCTTGTTTTGAAGGGAAAAAAAAGACACAAACACCAATTACTGGTTTATTTCAGTTTCCTATCTCATTAACAAATAAAAAAAAAGCCCTGTAAAAATGCGTGTTATATACAATTTATGGATATTTAAAGACAAAAGAAAACAAATAAACAAATAAGTGAACAAATTATCTGTGAAAATGTCTTAAGTAAGAATTTTCATCACGATTATTTAGGTTGCAACATAACATTTCTGCTTACTGGGTTTATACATCAACATTTTGCTAATATTCAGATGTATTTAGTTGAATATATGTGGTAAATACAGATATCTGTCTTTTATTGGTCACAAAGGGCAATAAGTACCTTTACTAATTATGTCTAACGCTCCTGTTCTTTCTCAGCTGGTGATTCGGGTCCATATGTCGGACGAGAGCTCCAAGACCATGATGGTGGATGAGCGGCAGTCGGTCAGACAGGTGCTGGACAGCCTGCTGGATAAGTCTCACTGTGGCTACAGTCCAGACTGGTCTCTGGTGGAAACCATTACGGAGCTGCAGATGGGTAAGCCAGCAGTCCATCCTGACTCAACCAGGCACACTTAATGAAGTTGACGACAGGCCTTTCATTGCGCCATGATCTTTCCCAGAGCGTATATTTGAGGACCATGAGAACTTGGTGGAGAACCTGTTAAACTGGACCCGGGACAGCCACAACAAGCTCATGTTCATCGAGCGCATCGAGAAGTATGCTCTCTTCAAGAACCCCCAGGTGAGTGCCCATTAATCTGCTCGTGCCGCACATGCTAACACATAGTTTATGCATGCTGAGTGCTTACACAGCTGCCAGTCAGGGAGGGAACTTGAAAGTAGGTCAAAACTCTAAAGTAAGTCGAGGTGAATAATTTATTTAACGTAAGATGATGTGTGTTTCCAGCTTCACTCCCTCTCCTCTGTCATCAACTCACTTTTCTGTTCCCTTCAATCCCTTTCAGAACTATTTGTTGGGGCGGAAGGAGACGTCAGAGATGGCTGACCGGAATAAAGAAGCTCTACTAGAGGTGAAGCCATGCAAAACGACCTTTGGTTTTGTTTCTACTGCTGGTAGAAGGAAATGAAAACAGAGAATCACACAATTTTATTTTATTCTTTTTTTCATTGTTGCCTTTCAGGAATGCTTCTGCGGTGGATCGGTGTCGGTGCCGGAGATTGAGGGGATTTTGTGGCTCAAAGAGGATGGAAAGAAGTCGTGGAAAAAGCGTTACTTCCTCCTTAGGGCTTCAGGGATCTATTATGTCCCAAAAGGCAAAGCAAAGGTCAGCTTAGACTTGTGTTTATGAATAATCCTATAACACAACATATTTTTGAGACCTCTACCTTTCTAATAAAGTTAGCACTTTCATGACTATAAAAGTGACACTTGAAGATAACTACAGAAATCTACAGATCATTTTTGAAGCAAGTATTTGCATCATAATTTGATATAACCATAGTTGTCATGTGTAAATATTTTTTATAAAGATAAGAGTACTACAAATATTTGTAAAATGTTACAAGTAAAAATGTTAACGATATATATATTTTCAAAAATAAACTATTATAAAATGTATTGTTTTGGATACAAGCCCTTCTGAGATATCATGCTGTATTTACATGTATTGTTTTTGCATTATTTGTGTGAGTATTGTGTAATTTATTACATCAAATACCTGTTATTAAAAATGTGAAAGATTGAGAAATAGCTGTATTAAAAGTGATACAATGGGAATTAGGTGCTAACGATACAGTTTTGGTGTTTTATTAAGTTGCTGTAATGGCTTGACTTCTTTCAAAGGCCCAGGGTTAGTTTTTGCATACTTTAGCAAATTAGAGATGCACAAAAAAAAAACTATCTGTCCTCAAAACTTTGTTAAAGTGAGATTTCATAAAATACTGAGACCTCTACTTCTTTTACACCTTGTTACATTGTCCAGAAACCTGCTGTACTCAGTGAAAATGTTGCTAAGTATTTTTGGACATTTTGTATAAAAAAAGAACAATTAATGGGAGGACATTTTTTTGTTTTATGATAATTGCATAATTGCAAAAGCCTTATGTATCAGTTAAAAAAAAGTCAAGCCATGTTTCTAATTTTGAACAGGTACATTTATAAAAATCTGCATTTTATATGCCAGACTTTTAAGGGTGAAACGGAAATGTGAGTTGGGATCATGAGAACCAGATCCACAGTCTGCTCTGAGGTATTTCCTCTTGTGTGCTGAATCACTGTGAAGAACATTTGAAACAAACAACTCAAGTCATTTATCATGTATGGTGTCAGATCTGAAGTGCACATGTGCTTTTATTTTTGTAAGCAAATGTGCAACGTGCATAATTCCTTAAATTATCTTCCTTTTCTAACCTTTTTCTCCATCAAAAACTATCTTCTTAATATCTGAAAATTTAGAAACATGCTCTATGTTCAGAAGCTCCCATGTAATCATCATTTAAATAGTATTTTGTGGAATTCTTTCTCAATTAGTTGTAATCTAGATTATAATGTTGTAATGTTCACATTTGGATATGTATTTTTCAAAGTGATAGGAATAGGAATTATTTTACTAATTCATCACGTAAAAGTTTTTTGTTCTTATATTTATAATTAGTGAAATATTCATAATAATGTTGTGTCTTGTGTCTCTAAAGGCGTCCAGAGATCTTGTGTGCTTCCTGCAGTTGGATCATGTTAATGTGTATTATGGACAGGACTACCGCAGCAAATACAAGGCTCCTACTGACTACTGCCTGGCCCTGAAAGTAAGAAAACCACTGACTAATACTGTTATAGAGAGTTAACATGTGCAGAAAACCTCTTAATAATCAACACTTGTGTTTTTCTATCTATCATTCTGATGAAAACTGCAAAACAGTTGGGAAAGGAGAAAGTCACTTTTGTTTGTTGGCATGCTAAGCAAGTGGCAGTTACAAGCTACAAAAAAATCAGCGCTTTATTTGATATAGTGTGCAAGTGGGCTTTGTTAACAATCAAAAATATATGTGCACACCTTTACAAATGTTCAAAAATGAAGAATTAATTATTGCTACCCGGACGTAAACTGGAACTGAGAGCGCTGGTGAAATGAAATCTTTTTTACCATCAAACGCTCTGGTTAAGAGTTAAAATTTGATGTATAAGTAAATCAAACTTTATCTGTAAATGTAAAAGAAGTTTTTACAGATGTTTAAAAAGAAAGACAACAAACTAATTAAAAATTACTAGAGAGACACATTGGAAATATTCAAACTATGTAAACAACCTAGAAAATTGCATTATTATTATTATGGAGAAGCTAATAAATAAAGAGGATGAAGAGGCGTGAAAATGTAGTCATGTGGCTTAGTAAGGAAAACATAAAAAAAAAAACTTGGTTTTCTAACCATATGACCAGAGAGAGATTGATCCAAATCAATGTACCTCATTTGAAACGTGGATTAAAATGGATCAACATTAGGTCTTTCAACAGGATATCAAATCCTGATTCCTTTTGATTTTTACTGAGCAAAATTTAGATTATTGATGGGAAATATTGTGTCCTTTTGTAATGTCTTATACAAGCTGTAGCCACTAGATGGGTCTGTTTAGTTATTTTTATTTGCTTTATCAGCATCCCCAAATCCAGAAGAAGTCACAGTACATCAAATACCTTTGCTGTGACGATGTTAGGACCCTGCACCAGTGGGTGAATGGCATCCGCATCGCCAAGGTGAGTCCAAATCAGTTCATTCTGGCCAATCAGCAATGTTTTTATATGTATTTTCATAAATGACTTGAAGTATGTATTTATCTATAGTATGGCAAGCAGTTATATGTGAACTACCAGGAAGCAATGAAGAGGACAGAGGCAGCCTATGATTGGTCATCTCTCTCTACCTCCAGCATTCGGTCAGGCTCCAGTTCTGCCAGTATACCTGGTGAGTTTATTTTCCAATCACAGACTCCACTGATAGTGCAGCATGAAGTAAAAACCAAGATTCTTGTGCTTGCATCCTGTCAGAATCCCAGTCCAATCATTCAGGTCATTCAGACAGTGGAGTAGACACAGCCTCCTCTCATGGCCGGTCTCAGAGTGTGGTGAGCTCCATTTTCTCTGAAGCCTGGAAGAGAGGAACTCAGATGGAGGAGAATTCTAAAGTATGATTTTCTGTCCACAGACATTAAGATGTATGTTAAATCAGAGATTGTGAATTATTTATTGCTTATATTTGCTCAGCAGATCAGGATGGAGGCGTCGCGTGGATCAACGCATTCCTCCCACAGCCACCGGCATCACAGCCAGCATTCAGTGGACCACCCCATCCTTACTCCCCCTCCACAGCTGCAGCAGCAGCACCCATCTCAGCCATCTTTAACACAAGAACCGACAGTGACCCAACCACTTCAGCCTCCGTCACCTCCCCAGATGCTACCACCACCACCCCCAGAGATGGTACAACCTCCACAACCGCCACCCAAGTCTCCAGAGCCGCAGCCCAGCATTAGTTCCGATCAGCAGGAACCAGCTGCTGCTCCCAGTCCACCTCCACCCCCTCCTCCACCATCCCCGCCGCCACCTCCTCCACTGCCTCCACTGCAAATGGTGTCACACCACTCGCCGGCCCCCACCATGTACAAGTACAGCACCATCACCCGGCTGCAGAACCAGAAGACTTCTCACAAGCTACCGGCGACGGCGAAGCAGGTCTTGCCTCCACCTCCGACACCACCTGCGCAGGTCATCAAGCCCAACGTAAATCACATTGCTGCAAGGACCAACGTCCCACCTCCTCCTCCGCCTCCTCCTCCACCTCCGCCATCAATGCCAACCCCAGGGTCCGCAATGGCGGTTTTGCGATGTGGCCCTTCCAGTCCGGCTGCTCCTCCTTCCTTCATCCCACCGCCTCCTGCGCTGCACACCAGCAACATGATGTTTCCTCCTCCTCCGCCTCTGCCTCCACCTGTTGCACCAACCCCCATGATACAAACTGTTCACGCCAACGGGCTGAAGCAGGCGCTAAAGGAGAGGTTTCCCAGTCCGCCACGAGAACTGCTGTCTCACAACGGCGATCTTGAGGACTCCCCACTGCCTGCTCCAGCACCACCACCTCCGCCACCTCCACCGCCGCCCCCACCTCCTCCTCCGCCACCCCAGCAGTGCTCCATACCAGCACAGTTTCCGCCTCCTCCCGGACCCCCCCGAGCCCCACCCAAAACCTTTACTCCTGGTTTTATGCCTCACACTGCACCCAAGCCCATGTCCCCAGTATCACCATTCCCTCCTGCTCCAACTCCACCACCGCCACCCCCACCTCCACCTCCCCCTCCTGCACCTTTTCAGCTAAAGAAACAGCTCAGCCTCCAGCAGGGTCACACCCATCCTCCGCCTACCCTCCCCAAGCAACACAGCCTGACTAAAACAGTGAGCGTCTCCACGGGAGCTGTACCTACCATGTCTTTGGTGAAGCAGTTGGCAAGTCAGTTTCCAGGAGCTTCATCCCAAGTCAACCATGCAGAGTACCCTAAAGCACCACTCTCCCCTCCTGCTGTGAAAACGAAACCAAAATGGCAGCCTGGCGGTAACCAACAGCTGCCATCTCCAGAGTTCCCCCCTCCTCCAGCAGAGAGCAACAACAGTTTCCCTGCACCACCTCCACCACCCCCACCGCCACCTCCTCCTCCAGCACCCATCACTGGCCCAACCCCACCGCCCCCCCCACTTCCCTCTGGAAGCATGGGCTCTCCACTGAGGAGATCACCCTCTGGCTCCTCCAGTTTCGGTGGTAAGAAGCCCCCTCCAGCCCCTCAGAGGAACTCCAGCATTAAAGCCAACTCATCAGCCTCTTACGAGGAATCCAGGAGGAATTTGCTCAGCAAGTTTGCTCCCCAGGGCAATAGCACCCCTTCTTCCACATGTCCCGTCTCTTCCTCCATTGGATCTCCTTCAAAGGACCCTTCAAATGGGCCTCCTGCACCTCCTAAACCAGGAAAGCTCAACCTGTCTAACCTACCTTTGGCGCTTCAAGCTAAAGTAAGCCAGGCCAAACAGGCAGGTGGTGACTTTCCATCTCCTCCACCTGAGTCCACCTACTTTCCACCTCCTCCCCCTGTCTCTGAGCTTTTCCCTCCTCCACCGCCTCCAGGCAATGATGTCCCAAGGGTAGCCGTGGTAAACCCTCAACCCCAAGCTCCCCCTCCTCCGCCGCCAGTCTCCCTTGTTAGCAACTCAATATGGGCAAAAAACTCCCTAAAAAAGACTCCTCCACCCACCCTAGGGCGGCGAAGCAACACTACCCCGGAACCGCCTGGCATATCTCCACCTCCACCCACATCTCCAAAGGGTAGCTCAGGTCAGCCCAACTTCCTGGCGGATCTCAGCCAGACTTTGAAACGCAAGTCAGTGGGTCGCCAGGGTCCAGGCTTCCCCGGCAAACTGGACCCAGTGGGGACCATGGATGACATGGCGCTGCCTCCGCCGCCCCCGGAGCTGCTACTGGACCAGGGGAAGCAGAGCAATGGAGGAAATGACAGCTATATGTCCGGAAACATCTCAGGCTATGCAACACTGCGAAGAGGACCACCACCCGCACCTCCCAAACGTGGGGATGCAACCAAACTTACCGGATAACATTGAACTCTGAGATCAGGACATAGCGCAGCTGGCTGAACAGACGTTATTAGCTAAATGGATATGAAATCCTGAACTTCTTAAATTCTCTTGTGAGAGACCTGATGAAGCCAATAGGACTTTGTCAGGCCCATTACTGATGAATTGGTGATCTTGTATATACAAAAAGCCAAATCCGACCACCGAATCCAAACAGTGCATTTTGTAAAACAACACCAAGACTGTTAAGACTGGACCAGGTAGGTATGAAGGATCCAGGTCTGAGCCAAATCATGTTTGTTTTTCCTCTTTTTTTATTCCTATAAAGCTATGCCACGTACTGGATACAAAACGAGAAACGGATCGGAACCACATGTTTCAGCTTTGATCACTACATGAACCACATGTGATAACAGGCTGGAGTTGTCCTGGGTTGAGTGTCTGTCTCTGTGTGTGTATGAATGAGAGGGAAACATGCATTGTGGTTAGAAAGCTCCTCGGTGGCAGGGCCCCAGGGGTGGATGAAATTCGCCCGGAAATTCCTTAAAGCTCTGGATGTTGTAGGGTTGTGTTGGTTGACGCGACTCTGCAATATTGCATGGAGATCGGAGGCAGTACCCCTGGATTGGCAGACTGGGGTGGTGGTCCCACTGTTCAAAAGGGTGTGTTCCAATAATAAGGGGGTCACACTCTTAAGCCTCCCTGGCAAGGTCTTTTCAGGGGTCCTGGAGAGGAGGGTCCGTTGGATAGTTGAACCTCAGATTCAGGAAGAGCTGTGTGGTTTTTGTCCTGGTCGTGGAACACTGGACCAGCTCTACACCCTCAGCAGGGCCCTGGAGGGTGTATGGGAGTTCTCCGGTCTACATGTGTTTTGTTCGAACGTGTCCCTTGGGGAGTCCTGTGGGGAGTTCTCCGGGAATATGTGGTACCGGGCCCTTTAATATGGGCTGCCAGGTCCCTGTATGTCTGTGTATCTGGGCTCTCCCTTAGGGATAGTGTGAGAAGTTCGTTATCCGGGAGGGACTCAGAGCAGAGCCGCTGCTCCTTCGCTTCGAGAAGAGCCAGTAGAGGTTGGTCGGGCATCTGGTCAGGATGCCTCCTGAACGCCTCCCTGGTGAGGAGTTCCGGGCACATTCCACCGGGAGGAAGTCCCGGGGAAGACCCAGGACATGTTGGAGGGACTATGTTTCTCGGCTGGCCTGGCAACGCCTTGGGATTCCCCTGGAAGAGCTGGAACAAGTGGCTGGGGAAAGGGAAGTGTGGGCCTCCCTTCTGAAGCTGCGAGCCCCGCAACCCTACTCTGGATAAAGCAGAAGAAAAGGGATGGATGGATGCATGCATGATTACATATATTGGTGAAGTAGTTGATAATTAAGGAATGCTGCCATGTTTTCTTTTGTATGAAATAATTTAAAGTCTGATGAATTTCACATTTTTTTGTTTTTGGTTTTTTAATTCTGGCCGTCAAATTTTGTCTAAACCGGATAAAGGTTTGGTCACAATGGCAAGTAGGATTGAGGCAAACATACATAAGAACAAAGGGATACTGCTACACTAATGAATCTAAAAAAATTCAGTTTCTCTGAAAATGAAAATGTTGCATAAGACAAATATGAGAAGGGTTTTAATACAGAAATATTATGCTACATGCAGAGCATCTCCACACAGGTAATCCACAAATCTAAAATCAGCAGATTAAGGTACTTCAAGTGTCTCTAAATTGGTTGTAATTTCAATTAGGCACCACATGAACCTACTTGATATAAAACCCAATGGAGGTTCTGTGGAGTTCTATCAAAAGCAAGATGAGACAACAAAGACAACAATGCAGATGAGTTGGTGATCATTGTCAAAACAATCTTAACTTCCTTAACACAGATTGAAGCCTTACTTAGCAGTATGCTCACATTTCTGAATTAAAAATTCTTTTTATTGCTTTTATGTAACATTATGAAACCTAAATTTTGGGTTTTAAGCCATAAGCAAAATGAACATAAGTAGATTTTGTATGTTTGTGTAATTTCACTTTCTGAACTTACTGAAGTAGGGTTTTGGATGTTATTCTAATGCACTGAGATGCACCTGTAGTATCTATCTGCAGAACTTTCTCAAAATTCATCAATTTTTACAAAAATGCAAATGTAAAGGAAGCCTCGTCACGAACACCTTGGGAAATAAAACTTTTTATTATTATTTAATGCAAAATTAGGAGGAACTGTGTTTAAATGGAGGTGGAGGCCTGTGTTTGTTTATTTCTTTGAGTTCTTTGTGTGTTGGCTTGATTTTTGGACCTCATCCCACATCACTACTGGTTCCCAGCGCCTTTTGAAATCAGGAATACAAACTGGAATCTCATCTTAGTACACACTGAAGGAGACGTATTCGCCTGGTTAATGTACAGAGCATTACACCATGTATTTAATAACCCACCATCAGACTTTGCATTAGACCGAATGTGCTTTGAATCCCGTCTTGTTTGTTCATGGTGCCATTGCTGCTTAAGCCGACAGCGCACAAGGACAGCAGTGCCTAGAAAGCGGAGCATGAAGGGGTTTCCCTGCCTTGCAGCAGTACTTTTATTTTCCGGGTTCTTGTGCAGTCCATGAAGTATCCCATTCCCCACTTGTCCTTTTGTGCCATGATGACATATCAGTAATATTTCCACATAATTTAACTGGTGTTGAAAGCAGAGGGAGGTCCCTGCTGGTTGCCTCGCTGAAGGACTTCTTCAACATGCTTCTCATTTGTCTGAGTGGGCATATCTTAAACCACCTTGACGGGACGTTTGCTAGAGTGCAGTTTGTAAGCTATTTATGTGGTAAAGTGTGAAGTAAATGCAAAGAAGGTTGAAGTTAATGTTTCCTCTTGCATATAAACTGAAAATCCCAATATACATGTTCAAACCAGATCTCAACCCCTGTCTCAGAGTCCTTATTTGTTCACATCTCTTGGAGTTTGGTGTTGGCTGGAAATACAGGCCTACTCTGCCCTCTTGTGGTCACATTTTACTTTGCAAGCTGTGGATCAGATGGCTTGTTACTGTAATCCAGCTACGCACTCCTGAAAGTTGAATTCAACATTATTTAAAAGTTGCATGATGTGTGTGGAGTTCATAAGTTAATAATATGTGGTTATAAATGTCCCCAAAATTTTTTGCATTAACAGAGGAGCTAATTGTAATTCTTGTTTTCTTTCAGTATGTCATGAATATTAGTTTTAATTTATTCTTGCTCAATACTTGGAATGTTATCAGCTGTACATGTTTTTAACTATTTGCTTCTGTCTCATTATCGCTGAAAGATAATTTAAATAGTCTTGAAATTAATCTAAATTAACTTGCAGGATTATCATATTTATGTTTAGTAATTATATTATCTATCCATCCATTTTCTGTACACCCTCCTCTTTAAGTCTGTGTCTGGGTTGTATGATTAGAAAGAGAATTCAGAGTTCCAACAAAGGTTGGAGAATGTAAAAAGAATATAATCCTGTGAAAGAGTAACCTCTTTCCAGAAAGAACAAACCATTCAGAGAGTCAACTACTTTATAATCAACAAAACTGTGTACATTGCTTTATTGTTTTACAGAAACCTTGGATTTTTGTTTCTACAATGTACTCAATTTAAAATAAACAGGGCACAAAAAGACAAAATTAAACATACTAAAGCTAACTCCAGTGCATTTATTACACTTCAAGATCTTTTAAACTGATACATGAATATAAAATCCTAATGCACACTGTATCTTTGTTTTATTCACATTTCATGTTAATAGACAGAAATTTTTTGTAAACAATTACTTGAACCCTCTTTTTCCAGGTTTTAAATTGAGGGTCATTTGTTCCCGCTGACAATTTTACAAAATGTACACTACAGACGAAAACGTCCAACATCACCCTGCAGCTCCTCATGCAGCGAAACATCTCACTGCAACAAAACTGTTTCAATTCAAGACGTGTTTTCTACATGAGACAAGTGATTTAATCGTGTTTAACGCCAGTCCTGCATGAAGCCACGAATGCATTGAGGTGAAGATGCCTCAGCTGCGACATTAAAAAAAAAACACGAAAACTGTTCATCGCTCCAGTGTTCCCATCAGAGGCTCCATGGCTGCCAGGAAGCAGGCTTCAAACTCCTGATCCGAGAAGCGTGCCACCGACTGGCGTGCGTTGCGTCTAATCTGCAGGCGGCTGTCAGGCGGCAGAGCCAGGATCTTCTCTATGGCTTCTGCGTAACTGTCCTCATCTTCTGCCAGGAATCCGGTTTGACCTCCGTCGACAGGTCTGACGATGTCCAGCTTCGGACCCCCCGACTTGTGAGCCAGGATGACCTTTCCTGCTGCCATGCACTGCACAACACCTAGAAGAGAAAACAGTAAGCACACGTTTACAAGAGGGTCCTGCAGGTTAGACTCATTACTTTTAATTATTTGAATACTTTTAAGGCATTCATTTTAGATACACAAATTTGAGGTCTTTTAAGGACTTGCTAACATTTTGCATGATCCCTTTGAAGACAGTCTTCAGATATATATATTTTTTACCTATTCCGAAGTGTTCGTTCCACATGGTGTGCAGGCCGATGGTGGCTTCGCTCATCTGCCTCTTCAGCTCCTCAAAAGATACGTTTAGTTTAAATTCCACCCTGTCTGCGATGCCCAGCTCCTGGCAAAGTCCCCGAAGCATGAGAACCCTGTCTTCATCTTCCTGGTTCCTGCAGCCGCCTATCAAAACGAGCTTCAGCCCCTCCCTGACGCCCGACCTCTCCCTCCTATCCAAAACCTTCTTGAAGGCCCTGATCTGCAGCCGGTGATCCTTCTCTGGCCTGAACTGGCCGACGGAAACGATGGAGTGGCTCTTCCTGTCCCCATCCTCCTCCAGCGGGACGTCCAGGAATGCGCTGACGTCGCAGGGTGGGTACACCACGCTGGTGCGGTTGGGGGAGCGCCACAGAGACAGGATGTGGTCAAGGGTCCAGGAGGAGTTGACCATGATGACGTCGCTGCAGGAGCCGGCCATCCCGTAGAGAACGGCGAAGAGGCAGTAGTAGACCAACTTAAAGGCACTCAGGAACAGACTGTTTGAGATGAAGTCTGGGTTGTTGAACCTGAGACAATCGCACTTTGTTAGCTTAGTACATAGAAAGCAGCATGAGTTTGGTCAAAGCAGGTAGGCATTACCTTGGGTTCCTCTCCCTCACCACAGACAGCATGTCAGTGCTGATGGTGGGATAGTGAACGTAGCTCCCAACGCTGCAGCCTCCCAGGTAGCGAAACAGCGGCAGGGTGAAGGCGTAACCCATGGAGTCGACGTAAAGGTCCGGGACCAGTTCGGTCAAGGCCTCCCATCCCAAGAAGATGGACCCCACGCTCTGTCCCAGCAGGGTGAAGTGTGGAAACAGACCGGGCTCCACCAGGACCCGGTGCTGCAGGAAGACGAACCGGACCGGCCGCGGCAGCACGATGTTGAAGTGCTGACGGGCTCCCTCCAGGATCTGCTGGCCGGTCACGCCCAGGTCCCCGGTGTACACCACAAAGTTGATGTCCGCGTACCTGCAAACAGCCTGGCTGCGTTAACTGGTAAGGGCAACTTTCATGAAATAAAAATCCCAAACTCAGCACTATTATCTTTACATTTTATCCCGCTGAACAACAATTTCTTTAAAATGTTATTGCTACCTGTTTTGTAGAGCCCTGATGGCACACCAGAGCACCCTCTCTCCCCCGCCACCAGCGTTGCAGTAAGGGTGGAAAAACGCCACTGTGGGACGACCTTCCCGTGCCCGGCGAGCATTCCTGCTGCTCTGCAGCCAGAGACGGACGGCCAGCACCAGCAGGACCAGGACAGCGACCAGCAGCATGCACAGAAGCAGCAGCGGGAGCAGCAACTTCCACAGTAACCTGAAACAGAGACATGCACTTTGTGTTTGGCTCATCTTCGCTTGTGCTGCATTGGGTGCAGAGTGGTTTACAGGAAGAGAGGAATCTGCAAAATTGGTGCAAAAATATCCACCCGGTTCAAAGTTTCATAAATAAAAAATAGAAATATGTTTTGCATCTGAACGTTGTCATCATCAGCTAACACTGAGCAAGCTCTGCACTGGTGGCAACAAGATTCTGTTCAGCTCAACATTTATTCATCTTTTAAGGCTATTCTTTCACCATTTAAATCAAGCTGTCAGAGTTTTTGGGCACAACTTTACAGCGAGGATATAAAACTAAAATTTGAAAGAATAGATTTCATGAATGGATTAACAAAAGCTTGCATATGTTTACAATTAGAATGGATCAAATAGACTAATGATGCGTAGAAATACAGTTACTCTTTTCCCCGTTATATCTATATTTTTTGCACAAAGTGAAACAGGAACCAGTATAATTTATATTAAAACTCCTCATTATTTTTTTTATCCGCTGGTTTTAGCCTTTTCTTTGCATCTTACCTCGTTATTTCGCACAAATACATCACCAGCTGATCGTGAGCCGACATCTTGGCGTCAGCCCGCTCCGTGCGTCACAACCTCTTCGGCTCTGCTCCCTGCATTGAGTTAGCTCTCCGGCGCCCCCAACAGGTGAGGCGGTATCACTGCGCCAGCGCCTCACTGAACTGAGTTGAAAACTCAAAAGTGTTTGGGTAATTTTTTATATATTCATATTACACAGCTTTATATGACACGAGTTAATAACTAATTAAGTAATACTGTTTTCTTTGATCTCTGCCCTGCTCGTTGTTTTCTCAAAGGTAAAGTTTACTTGAACAAACACGGCTTCAATCAATAATTTTGTACCTACCCCCACGGTTTGGACAGAGCTTGGACATTCATCATGACGACTCTTTGGGTGTTGTTTTTCTTTTTAAATTCTGACCTGCTTCTACAGACAGGGCAATGCACAAAAACGAGGTAAATGGCTTTAGTTGATCTCAGTTTTGAAAATGTTTGCATTTTATTGCTGTAAGTTATAGAAAATAACACTGTGTCAGACAGAAACAAACTTATGTAAACATAAAGAGCAATGGTGAGTTATATATAGATTTCGGTCAAAGTATTACAATTTAATTCTGCTTTTGCATTTTTGTCTTACATTGTCAAACAAATGTTTTTATCATACAAGTATAACTCGATTAAATGTGAAATCTATTTTTTGAAGTTGATGTTTTTTCTACATTTATTTCAGTGGCCAGGTTTTATCAATAACCCCTAACACTCAAGAACAAGTGGAGATTTTGAAGAATGTGTCCACCCAGCACCAGGTAGAACTGTTCTCATCTTTACTGCCGTTTTCTTGTCTCATTGGGTTATTTTCTTTCAGCAGACGGTAACGTTGGACGTTTTCTCTCAGACAGGTTTATGGCAGCCCGCTTCACCTCACAATATCAAAGAGCTAACACAAGTCCATCTCTACGTTCCTGGGAACAGCTCCGAGACGGTCAGGAACCTGCTGCAGAGACACGACATTGCATATGAGTATGTCGCTCCTATTGTAAATTACAGCTGCTTGTGTGTGTTGCATTTGAGCATGTTTGAAATCTTCACCGCAGAGTGATGCTACCCAATGCTGACGAGATCATTGAAATGCAGATGAGGAACGACTCCGGCGACCCAAGAAGTGGCTCAACGTTTTACTACAGATACCACACTTTAGAGGATGTGAGACTTCGTGGGAGATCCTAACTCAATTTTTAAAAATATTTTTCTTTTAATAGCTGTGCTATTCTCTTGCAGATCTATGACTGGATTAACAGAACAGTCCATGACAATCCAGACAAAGTTAAAGCTATTCTTGTTGGCTCCTCATATGAGAAAAGGCCGTTGTACGCTCTAAAGGTAAACCTTTACTTGTGTTAAAAACCCTAGGTTTAATTTGAGAATAAAAACTGTTTTGTTTAAGTTTACTAAGTGTTTCTTCTTTTATATT